CGTCGTCTTCGGCCTCCTCGTCCTCCTCGTCGTCCTCCTCCTCCTCCTCCTCCTCCTCGTCGTTCCGTCCTTCTCCCTCCTCGTCGTCCTGCTCGTCCTCCTCCTCCTCCTCCTCCTCCTCCTCCTCCTCCCTCCCTCCCTCGTTCTCTCCCTCCATTCCTCCATTCCTCCGTTCCTCCTACTCCTTCCCCTTCCTCAAGCGTCCTCCCAGAGGGTTTCCACAACGGATGTGGGAGCACACAGCCCAACAGCTTGGGCAAGCTTGGGCCCAACGTTTGACCACGCTGGCGCTTCCAGGAGGCACGGGGCGGCGGTGATTCGCCGCTGGCGTCCTCGCTCCGCCGCTCCCGTGGTCTGCGGAGGCGTTCTTGGCGCGTCGAGGCTCAGCACTCGTCGGTCATTCGGCGGATTCCAAACTGCCTCGCAAGAACCATCAGAATAACTATTGTTCGTCGGCTTTCCCGCCCAAGATGGCTCCAAACCGGGCTTCTGGGACTGCCCCAGCTGGCCTCCCAGACTGCCCCAGCTGGTCCCACGAGACCCCCGACAAGGCTCAAGGGGATCCCAAGAGACCTCCAGGAAGACCCACACGATCCAGATTTACTGCGTTTCCCAAAAACGTTTGCAGGATTTCCGCTCTCTCGCCTACGATGCCCACACCAGCTTCTGCGACGGCCCTGAAGCGCCCCAGGAGGGCCCCGAGACAGCCCAATGAGGCTCTCGAAACCGGCCTCCGAAGGCCAAGAGACCCTGCAGAGGCCCCCCGAAGCCCCCAAGAGGCCGCAGGAGGACCACGTGAGGCCCGTCAGAGGGGCCCACAAGAGGACCCCCGGAGGCCCCCAAACGCACCAAGGAGGCCCCGAGATGGCCCCAAGACGTCTCCAAGAGGCCTCATCTTCCTACTCTTCCTCCTCTTCTTCCTCCTCCTCCTCCTCCTCCTCCTCAGCATCAGCATCAGCATCAGCATCATCATCATCATCATCATCATCATCATCATCATCATCATCAGCAGCAGCATCAGCATCAGCATCAGCATCAGCATCATCATCATCATCATCATCATCATCATCATCATCATCATCATCATCACTCAACACCATCATCACATCATCATCATCATCATCATCATCATCATCAACAACATCATCAGCATCATCATCATCGTCAGCATCATCATCGTCATCATCACCACCACTATCATCACCATCATCACCATCACCATCACCATCATCATCACCATCATCAGCAGCATCAGCATCAGCATCAGCATCAGCATCAGCATCAGCATCATCATCATCATCATCATCATCATCATCATCATCATCGTCAGTATCATCATCAGCATCATCATCAACATCATCGTCATCAGCATCATCATCATCATCATCATCGTCAGCATCATAATCACCGTCATCATCATCATCGTCATCATCATCAGCATCATCATCATCAGCATCAGCATCGTCATCACCACCATCATCATCATCATCATCGTCATCATCATTATCTGCATCATCGCCATCATCATCTTCATCGGCATCGGCATCAGCATCCGTATCAGCATCATCACTATCATCACTATCATCAACATCATCATCATCATCATCATCATCATCATCATCATCATCATCATCACCATCCGAGGATTTCTACGACGGCTGTGGGAACACACAGTCCAATCGCCTGGCCAAGCTTTGGCCCGACGTTGGACCGCAGGGGCGGCGGCGGCTCGCCGCAGGCGCCGCCAACAACCGGAAAGGACCAGAACAGGCACATCCCGCGGGCTTTCCCAGTCGAGGTGACTCCACGAGGGGGTCCAGGAGGGCCCTTGTCGCCATCAAGTCGGCCTCAGATGGCCCCGGTGGCCTCCAGGAAGGCTTACGGTGCCTCCAAGAGGGTCCGATGTGTTCCGCGACGACCGAAGATGGCCTCAAGGTGGCCTGTCCCTCAACATGCCCCACGAGGTCCTCCAAATGGGAGTCGAGAGGCAAACAAAAACACTTGACTGTCCGCAGTTCTACAACAATCGCCTGCACTTGGCGGCTCTTGCTCGCCTCGACCAATCACTGGATGAGTCCGCCAGGGTTCCGCCTGGTCGCCCAAGCGGTGGCTGCTCGTGGGAGCCTCGTGGGCGCCCCGTGCGCTGGGTGGGTCGGCTGGGGTCTGGCCTGGTGCCCGGCCTGTGGCCCCTCGTGCGAGCCTGGTGGGCCGCCCGTGCGCTGGGTGGGTCCGCCGAGGTTCGGCCTCGTGCGCCCGGCGGGCGGCCCCCGTGCGCTGGGCGCAACACGCAGCTCGCACTGCACAGCCTGCAGCGCACAGCCTGCAGCGCACGGCTTGCGCCTCTCGGCTTGAGCCACAGGGCCTGCAGCCCATGGCCTGGGCCACGAGCAGTGCGCCACATGGCCTGCGCTACACGGGTTGCACCACAGGGGCGGACCCACACACAGCTTGCACAACGCAGCTTGCATCACGTACATTGTGCCACATGGACTGCACCACATGGGTTGCACCACACTGCTTGCATTAGCATTGATTCTCCTTTCTAAAAGATTAATAGATTCAACCCCCCTCCCTCCCCCGGGACTTATCGGTTCCCCCTGGGATAGTATGATTTCCCATATATATATATATATATATATATTCTGCACACTCGTCCATCCTAAATATGAAATCAGACCATCCCAGCCAAACCGGGTTCCCCCTCCCTGCGGTTCCCGTGGAAAAAACACTATGCGGTGACATGTTTGGTTCTAACATAGCACTTTTTCGCGAATCCCTTGCGAAACATGGGACGAAGCGCACACGCGCGCGTCGTCGCGCGCATGCCGAAATCCTTCAAAAACCTTTGGTGCCGGAAGGATTTCGCAATCGAGTCTGCAAAAAACATGCAAAAACACATGGTTTCGCAACACGGATCTGCTAAAAAAGCTTACGCGCGAGCTCTTGCGAAATCTCAAGAAAAACCATAGGTTTTTCAATATTTTCACAACATGCTACCAAACGGACGTCGCGCGCGCATGTCGAAATCTGTCGAACGCCCTTGCGCGTGTGCCGTTGCGAGAATCCTGTGCAACAAATGGGACGAAGTGCAGACGCGCGCGTCGTCGCGCGCGTATGCCGAAATCCTTCAAAACCCATCGGTTTCGGAAGGATTTCAAAATCGTGCGTCCAAAAAACCTACAAAAACACAAGGTTTCGCAACACGGATGTTCAACAAAAGCGTGCGCGCGCGCTCTTGCGGCGTCGTCGTCGTCGCCGTCCTCCCTCCTCCCGTGTCGTCGTCGTCGTCGTCGCCTACGTCGTCCTCTGTCTTTCCTCGTGTTCGTCGTCGTCTTCTTTGGCGTCGTGGTCGTTTCCGTCGTCGTTGTCGCCGTGGTCGTCCTCCCTCCTCCTCCCTCGTCGTCGTCGTCGTCGTAGTCCGTCGTCGGCGTCTCGTCGTCGTCCATTCTATTTCGTCGCCGTCGTCGTCGTCGTCGTCGTCGTCGTCGTCGTTGTCGTCGTCGTCGTTTTCTCTCCTCCCTCGTCGTTGTCGTCGTCGGCGTCGCCGTCCTTCCTCCTTCTTCGTCGTTCGCGTCGTCGCCGTCCTCCCTCCTCCCTCGTCGTTGTCGTCGTTGTCGTCGTTGTCGCCGTCGTCGTCCTCCCTCCTCCCTCGTCGTCGTCTTCGTTGGCGACGTCGTCGTCGTCTTCGTCGTCATCGTCGGCGTCGGCGTCGTCGTCCTCGTCGTCGACGTCGGCGTCGTCGTCGTCGCCGTTGTCGTCGTCGTCGTCGTCGTCGGCGTCGTTGACGTCGTCGTCGTGGTCGTCGGTGTCGTCGTTGTCGTCGTCGTCGGCGTCGTCATCGTCGTCGTCGTTGTCATCGTCGGTCGTCGTCGTCGTCGGCGTCGGCGTCGTCGTCGTCGTCGTCGGTGTCGTCGTCGTCGTCGTCGTCGTCGTCGTCGTCGTCGTTGTCGGCGTCGTCGAAGTCGTTGGAGACGTCGTCGGTGTCGTCGTACTCGTTGTCGGCGTTGTCGTCGTCGTCGTTGTCGCTGTCGTCGTCGGCGTCGCTGTCGTTGCCAAATGCCATTTGGTACCCACCGTCACGGTCTTAAGAGATTTTGCAAACCAAGTTGCGGGTGGGTGGGTGGGTGGGATGTTTGCGCGAGCAGTGGAGTGGACAACTCACTGCGAACAGAAATTATTTGCACCTCCTAGATTGCACCACATATAGTACATCCGGACTGCAATAATGCACTGTTTGTGATTGCACGCTGGTAAACGTTTCTCTAATGATTTTGTATCCTCCCCGTCTTGGTGGGGCGTCCAGGACGGCCCACGAGGCCCCAATATCATCCCAAGACGGCCGAAAAGGTTCCAAAGCGGGCCCTCAAACGGCCGAATACGCCCTCAACACAATGCCAAGACGGCCCTGGAGGGCCCAAAATGAACTCCAAAACGGCTCCGATCTCCCAAGACGGCCTCAGATTGCGCCAGACGGCCCAAGAGTGCCCTCAGGCGGCCCCAGCCAACGAGCCCCAGAAGGGCCCAAGATAGCCCCGGGATTCCCCCAAGAAGGCTCAGGAAGGTTTGAAAACGAGCTACAAGACGGCTCCAGAGGGCTCCTCCCCGGTGTTCCCCCAGGTGGCTTCCTCAACAGCTGGGGGAACGCGTAGTTCACGAGCGTGGCCGCACTTTCGCTTGAGATTTCACGACGCAGGCGTTACCAAGAGGCGGGTGGCGGCGGTAACTCGTCAAAGGCGCTTTCGATGATGAAGAAGAGTGCAAGAGTATGTAGGGGAGGCGGTCGAGGGTGCCGGAGCGGCGGGGCGGAGGAGGACGAGTAGTGGGAAGAGGGAGAGGAATGGGAAACGGTTCTCCCCCCCCGCCGCTCTCACCTCCTTCCTCCTCCACCACCTCTTCTTCCGCCCCCCCTCCGCCTGGCTGCTGCTCCTCCTCCCTCCTCCTGCCTCCTCCCCCTCCTCCTCCTCCTCCTCCTCCTCCTCCTCCTCCTCCTCCTCCTCCTCCTCCTCCTCCTCCTCCTCCTCCTCCTCCTCCTCCTCCTCCCCCTCCTCCCAGAGAGAGGAGAGACGGCGGCGCAGTGCCCCCCCCCCCATGTCCCCGGGCCTCGCCTGGGTCTCCCTGCGGGGCGCGCCCGGCGCGATGCTCAGGTGGAGGGACCTCCGGCGCAGGACGTCCTGCCCGGAGCGCCGAGCGAGCCACAAACCTCCGGCGTCGTGCTCGCGCTCTGGAGGCCCTCGCCGGGCCCCGGGGCCGTCAACAAAAGACGCGGGAGGAGGAACTGGTCCCAGGGAATCGGTCGGGGCTTCCGGGGACCGCGCATGGAGAAAATCAGGACGTCGCATGTCTGGGTCTCGGAACTTCGGCACCGCCTGTTCCCCGGGCCCCGCCCGCTCCGGCCGCCTGAGGCCCCGCCTTCCTGCGCCCTGTCTCCCTAATTAAAGCTGTGCGTAGCCCGCCTAGCTTTTAGCGGAAGAGGTTCGCTCTCGCCCCGCGGATCAAAAATGTCTGGGTCTCGGGCGAGTCAAGGCGGTGTCCTTTTGCGTCATCTGCGGTGTCTGGGGGCTGCCTTCGGGCCCCTCGCCCGTGTGCCAAGAGTAGGTGGGTCGCCTCACTCCGCGCATCGTGCCCCGCGAGGCGCGAGCACCTTCGCGCCCTCGTGTCCCCCCCCCCGCTCCTGGCCATCGCTCGGACGTCCATTCCCTGTGTTTTTTGTCGGTTTCGTGCGTGGTTTTTTTCGCCTAATGAGCAAGGATGCTCCTCGATGGTCCTCGCCGGAGGAAAAGTGCACACGTCCGAGCGATGCCAAGGCTCTGGCCCAGACAGCGACGTGCGCAGCCCGATTATCTTCACGCCCCCGCGGGTGGCTTTGGGAAATGGCCCCGGGACCAAAACCTGGCCTTGGGAAGGGAGTGGAGACCCCTGGGATTAGGTCGGGCATGTCCTCCTACAGGCAGATGTTGGAAGAAACATGAAAATCCGCCGATCCGGCGTGTGAGCTTCTGAGAGCGTGGACTTGAGCTCGCTCAAGCTTCGCTCTGCAGGGGGGGGGGTCGTTATTTCCGACGTCATTTCCGATTTTTTTCGGTACACGGGGATACTTCCGACGTCATTTCCGACGTTTTTCGGTACCCGGGGACAGGGGGGTATAGAAAACTCCACTTCCGGAGCCCCGACCGCCCAAGACAGCCCAAGAGGAAGCCAAGAGAGGCCCCAGAGGCCGCCTAGACAATGCAAGAGGGCCCCGAATCGCCGAAACATCATCCTCATCATCCTCATCATCCTCATCCTCATCATCCTCATCCTCATCCTCATCCTCATCCTCATCCTCATCCTCATCCTCATCCTCATCCTCATCCTCATCCTCGTCATCATCATCATCATCATCATCATCATCATCATCATCATCATCATCATCATCATCATCATCATCATCATCATCATCTCGCACTCACCCCCCCCGGATCGGCGGCACTGGCCAGAGGCCAGCCCAATAGTCAAAAAACTCAAACATTGTCAAAAATGATACAGACAACTTTTTTGAGCATTTGTGAGTATTCCTCCTGTAGAAGGACAGGCCCGACTTGACCCCAGGACTCGCGAGTTGACGCAAACATCAGTCCGCCGGAGATCTGGGTGCACGTGCATCGCGCGAAGGCACCGCGGAACCAACCTGGGCCCATCTGAAGGCCGAAGGATAAATGAGGATAAATGAGGGAGGACAAATGAGGGATCCTGAGCAGTGGAGGATAAATGAAGGCCGAAGTCATCCTGGGCAGGGGAGGATAAAGGAGGGAGCGGACTCCAATGGGGGGGGGAGGGAGAGGGATCCTAAGACTGTGCGCCCGGTCTCCCTCCCTTCACCTTCCTCCTTCTTTACTCCTCCTCTTCCTCCCCTCCCCCCCTCCCGTCACCCCTCCCTCTTCCCACCCTCCTCTTCCACTCCGCCTTCATCTGTCATCGTTCTCCGACGCCTGACGGGACTTGTTGTGATCCCAAGGCAGGTGGGGAGACGAACATCGAGGATTGATCGCCTCCGATTCTCTGGCCCCGGTCATCACAATGCCATAGTTGTTGCAGGTTCTCCGTCGAGGAATCACTGTCCCATTCAAGTCACAGCGGGAGCTCGGCCAAGAGTGCAGCAGGTGAGGCGATTCGACGGGCCATCGGTTTTTGCCCACAAGCCAGACGTTTTCCCTTGTGACGATGTCGAGGACGCCGATGGAGATATTCAGGTTGAAGTGGAAAGGGGATCACCTCCGAAACCATGGGCTAATATCATGCGAGAGGATGCTGCCAATGGATTCGGGGACGCCAGCACGCAGCGTGGTCGACTTGACCGTCGATGTGAGGCTCTCCATTCCGGCGCTAAAACTGAAATGCTGTCTCCCTCTTCAATATCCAAGTTCCACAAAGCTGTGTCCGGCGAGCACATGGAATCGAGTATATGTATTCGACCGCGGGAGGTGCTCTGACTATGTATCAGCCCGCGGGGACGACATACTCGCGCGCCTTACGCACGCTGCAACTTCGGGCGAGCGGCCTCAGGATCGCTCAGGCGGGTGTGCATGGGCATCGAGTGCCTCCATGGAAGCACGTGTACGATTTCGTGGGTGCGCGTGGGCGTGACGGTAGGCTCCGGCACATCATGCCGCACCACGTTCTGCACGCCATCACGCACATCAAGTGGCAACTGTGTGCGCAGCCTGTAGCATATCACGGGGACATGCTTTGCTTTGTCAGCACCTTCCTCGGTCGGCTAGCAGAGCAGGACGAAAGGAAGGCAGGGCAAGGCCCGGTCCCAGACTTTCGCCAAATGGATGCGTATTATTATTTCTGCCGCGGCAGGGCCAATCTATCGATGGTCCAAGCCGGGAGTGTGGCAGCTTGCTCAGGTCTGTACTCCATCGGTGCCCTCGAACCTTCCATGGGACATCGTCGAAGCTCAACGGGACTCCTAGGGTCAAATCTGGCGTGGCCTTACTGGGCCTGAAGATGAGGGGTAAGGATAGGGGGGGGGGGACTGGCATAGGGGGGGGATGCATCGACCTGGAATCCGCGATACATCGCCGATAGATCGGCGATAAGCCCCCGATAGTGAGTCCGCACCTTCCTGGGCAGGTGGGGACTATCGGGCCCCTATCGGCGATCAATGGGCGATTGGGGGTCGATGCGTCCCCCCCTATGCCTATCCCCCCCTATCGTTGCCCCTGAGAGGACTACGTCAATGGCAGTATCATGGGTGAGGAATCCAGTGGGCTTTCGGGGGACGCGAAGGACCTCGTCGACTCAGCACCTCGGCTCCCTCCTCTCACCATTCCTCAACCGAGAGGTGCTGCAAGAAGTATGATCGCAGAGAGCCGATCCGCATATGCCCCCTCCCCGGGGGGACAGCGCCCGCAGCATGAGTCGGGATGCCCCCCAGAGACGCGTGCGCCTTACCGGGCAGCGCGCAGTGAGGTGAGAGGTCGAGCTGTGCAGGCGCTGCCACCGGCCAGGCCTGCACCGTCGTGCACGGATGCTGCCAAGCGCCTCGCGAGTCGGACGGCCGTCCGAGCGCACCTCCTTCGGCCGTGGCACTGGGCGCCGGTGTCCGACGCAGCGCTCTCCGTCGTGGGCTATGTCTCTCATGCCTCATTGACATGTGGGCCGTGTGGCCACAAACTGTTGTCCAGGGTCCACATCGCGCCCTGGAGTAAGGTTTCGGGAGGCTATCGACCTATCGCCTTGTTTATCTCGGTTTGTAAGCTTTGGGCCAAAACTCGCGTCGGTCATGTTTGTGAATGGGCCAGCAGGCTGACCCGGCCCTTCTTCGCTGTGGGGGGATCAAAAATCTACGACAGACGTGGCCGCGCGAGTGCTGATTCAGGGAGAGGCGATATCTGACTCGCATCTCGACCCTGACTTGGATCGGACGTCACGGTGAACGGCATTGTTGACATCGAAAACAGCTTCGATGAGCGGGCTGGCGTCTGCTGCTCGGAGCTGCTCGCGCACATGGCTTCCCGCCTCAGCTCATCGTGTTCGCTGTCAAGATGTGTATGGCGGCTCGGAGGTTATCGTGGGAAGGAGCTTTCTCGGGGCTGATCTTCGCGACGAGGGGTTAATTTCCTGGGTGTGCTTTCGCTATGTTATGTCTGCAGTTTGTGTGTGATGATTTCGCCTTTCGACTCGCTGCTCGAGCATAAGCTGCAGATCTCCCGATCGATCGACACATACGCTGACGATACAACGCTATCCATCACCAGCAAGCTTCGACGTGCTTTCTCGGCAGCATGCAGAGCGTTCGTCCACTCGCCGACGTGCTGCGTGGGATGGGACTCCCGCCTGCGAAGCACAGGATGACCATTGCCTCCAGTGTTGCAAGTGTGGCTCGTCGCATTGGTCGGAGGCTGGCCAAATATCGGGGGCGGCCAAGAGGGGGGCGTCCAAGAGGGGGGGCGCAAACCATGGCCAGCGGCACGTGCGCGGCCCAAGGGCGGGAGGGCGAGGGAACGTGCTGAAATCAGAAGGCGCGCCCCGAAGTCTGGGGAGATACCATGTGGCCCCCGCCATGATCTCTCCCCCCCCAGTCATCACCCCTCTCCATGGCCGCCCCCGAACATGTGGACACGAGCACCAAAAAAAAAGGGTTCTGGAGGCCCCCGGGGACTGCAGCGGCCCCGGGCAGGCCCCTCGAGAGCTCCGACGTCCTCGGAAGCGCCTCCGCGGGGACGTCTGGGAGGAACCACGGCTCCCCCAGGAGCCAGGCCCCAGGCCAAAGTCGTTCCTCCTGGCCCCAGGGCCCCTTTTGAGGAGGAGGAGGAGGAGGAGGAGGAGGAGGAGGAGGAGGAGGAGGAGGAGGAGGAGGAGGAGGAGGCGGAGGAGGATCCCCTCGTCCGAGGCGTGCGCGCCGTGCCGCCCCGCTTCGCGTGCAGGCTTGCCCGACCAGCACGGCCAGGTGCGGGCGGACACGCTTCAGGCGTGCGCGGGGCGCTCTGCCACGCTCGGTTTCGCAGCTGCGCCGTCGTGCTCCGCCCTCCGTGGTACTCACCCTCTCACCCTCTCCTCCTCCTCCTCCTCCTCCTCCTCCTCCTCCTCCTCCTCCAACCTCCTCAACAACTCCTCCTCCTCCTCCTCCTCCTCCTCCTCCGCCTCCTCCGCCTCCTCCTCCACCTTCTCCTCCTCCTCAACAACCTCCTCCTCCTCCTCCTCCTCCTCCTCCTCCTCCTCCCTCGTTCCCTCTGCCCCCCCACGACGTCGGCGTGGATCTCGAGCTGTATGCAGCATTCTATGTGTTCGGGCCCGCAGGCGTGAGCTCGGGTGGAGCCGCTGCACCAGGTGGGCTAGGCTGCGCCGAGGTACATGGCTCACTCATGAGGTCTTGCAGAAAGCCTGACAGGTTCATATGAAGGGGCCCTGGGACACACACATAAATACACACAAATAAAAGGATTCCCCATATTTTCCAATATTTTCTGTGTTTTTGTCTTCGCCCCCACTTCCCATATTTTCCCATATTTTCCTTGGCATCGACGAATAATTGTGTCTGTGTGTTTTCTCCCCTCTGATCATATCAAGACGATATTTTCCTCGGATAGACCCTGGAGTATGGTGTCTGGGACTACTGGGGCCAGGTTGCTCTCCGGCAAGGGCCTCACGTGGACTACCTCCTCGGCCTTCTGTCGAGACGTCCTGGACGTCAGGACCTCGACGCCATCTGCGATACAGTCGGGGCGTTGACCTAAGGAACCCTAAATAAGGAACGGGGCCCCTTCCTCCCAGAAGTTGAGCTTCGATTTCCCATGGAAAACCTCAGGAAAACAGAAGGCAAACTGCAGAACAATCAAGGAACACCGAGCCCCTCCCCAACGAAAAGGGTTCTTTCTTCAGGGCCCCGACTGTACAAGAACTTGCTCAAGGGGCTGCCCTTCGGCGGCTTCGGGAGTCTTGGGCTGCTCGACCTGTCCCAGCTGATGACATTTCAAGGCCCCCCGAAAGCCTCCGGGATACTGTATTGAACCCGTTCTGGACCTCTTACGGCGATACCAACCGCAGGAATCGCATGAGGAGGATTAGGAAAGTGATGATGGTCGGGAGGGACGAGACGAAGGTGAGCAGCCTCAGCGCAGTTTGAAGTAGACTCTCACTTTCAATGGGGCGGCCATGCTACGAGCCATCGTTGGTGGAAGCATGTGGTCACCAGCGAGACTCAAGTACTGCAACTCCGCGGATAATGCGACATGTTTCCAGTGCCCGTCCGAGGATTGCAGCTCGCATCATTGACCTGTCGGTGCGCTGGTAATGGTGTCGCAAGGGCGAATGAGATTGGCGCGCTCGACGACCGCGGTCTTCCACCAACATGTGCTGGCTCTCGGTTCGGGGATCGGGGGCTGTGCCAGAGGAGTTATTTCCCGCCGCTGCCCGGAAAAAGACACCCCAGGACGCTGGATTGTTCGATGTGGCTCGGTCGATTACACATCAAGGACTGTGTACACAGATGGTGCTTGCGAGCGTTTCTGGCTTTCTGGCATGGGACAAAGGCTGCCAGAGCGAGCTTGGGCTTTGCCAGGTTCGTTGACGCGAGGATTGAGGCCTTGGCCTACGGAGCGCTTCCAGGGCCCATCCAGTCCTCCCCACGAAGATCGGGAGCGGCAAAGAGGGGGGCGTCCAAGAGGGGGGGGTGCAAATCATGACCGGCGGCATGTGCGCGGCCCAGCGGGGGGGGCCAGGGACGTAATGGAACAAGAAGAGGCGCCATGAAATCTGAGGAAATATCATGGCCCCCGCCATGATATCCCCCCCCCCTAGTCATCACCCCCCTCTTTGCCGCCCCCGAGAAGAGAGCTACATGTACTTTTGCAGACCTTGCGAACTGCCCGGTTGCATCTGCCAGTTGTCTCCGCTTTCAGCGGCCTCGTGGCGGGTGGCTCCAGCGGGGGCCTCCGTGGTGCTGCCACCCTCGGAAGCTCAGCGTTTTGACACTTGGGGAGCCCTCGGGGAGAACGCCCAGGATTCTGGGGGGCCTTGATCGGGTCGGGCGAAAGGGGGGGATAGCAAAGGGGGGGGGGTTGAGAATCAGCTCACGTAGCTGATTTTCCCGGCGCCTCCCGGCGCCGGGAGCGGCCATGTATCGAGGAATTGGCCCCTCGGTGAGGCCGAAACCAGCTGCATGCAGCAAATTTCGTACCCCCCCCCTTTCCCAATCCCCCCCTTTCGCCCGACCCGACTTGGGGAGGCTCTCGAGGTCAGGCGCAGCAAAGGACATCAGAGGGGCTCCGAAACTCACGTTAAAAAGGGATCGATGCGCCGACGTTGCGGCGACGCCTGGCCGCGACCTCCACTCCGTCTCGAGCATCAGGCTGAAGTCATGAAGGTAGCTCTCACATGTGTTCGACGAGTCCCCAAGCGGCGAGTCAGAGCCTCCATAGGCTTCTCCTCACATGGTCGGATTGACACTTTACGGAGGCGACGGCGGCAACGGTCCAAGATATCGCGACAGTGTTCGGACCCACCGCCGCCCCCCA